AACTCCATCATTGTGACTCGTTTTTCAATGATTCTTACCTACAACAGTGAGCTCCAGACTAAATGAATTTTGTCCCGTTTTATTAGTGGCAAGGCAAGTGTAAGTTCCAGCATCGTTTTGTGAGAGAGGATCAATAAGCAGAGAGTGAACTCCCGTCTCTCTGACCAGCATCTTGTGGGTGCCGTCTGGTAGCACAGGTTTGCCGTTCAGAAGCCACGTCAGGTCTGGAGTCGGTAACCCACTCACCTAACAGACAGTGAAGCAGCTAGAGACAAATGTCAAACTGACAAATAGATTTTACTAAATTCATAGGTAAGCCCTTTTTCAGACACCATCTGAATGATGTCAGAATCTGGAAGAGAAAGATTTTTTTTTTTTTGCTTGTCAGCTTCTGGTTTTCTGCTGATTAGTTCCAAAAGGGAGAAAAACAGAAAACAAACAAGCAACAAAATCCAAAGAAAATCAAAAGAGAAACAAATACATGAAATGCCTACATTTTTCTTAGTCAGAAAGGGAGAAACTTGGTTATATATCAGACTCACAAAAGACTCCTTGTGATCTGGTAATTTTATTTTTTTTAGTGCTGAGGATAAATCAAGACCCTGGATCTAAACCACTAGAGTTTAATAGGATGGAAAAGAGTTCTATTCAAATGACTATGTTTCGTAAAATTTGATGGAGAACGATACAGTTCTTTGTAGCTGTTAAACTTACATGCTTTAGAACGCTATATATTAAGGGTTTTTTAGAATGATTATTAGACTGTATTATAGTCTTAAAGATCTTTCCAACAGATAGAATTACTTACTCATGTCTAAACTACTGCTTTCCAAACAATATTCTACAAACCAGACAGAGGGAAGTGGAACTTGCCTGAACGAGGACTGCTGTCTTCCAGGTTTGTGCAATACCAGACATGCTTTAAGGCTTCACAAGCTCTGCCAGGATAGCAGAGCTAAGAATAACCAAATTCTTTGGCATGCTCCCTAGTAAACGTTACATCGTAAATTAAGTAGTAATGAATCTTGTTCATCTTCAGGGCATTAACTTCTGCTGCAGAGCTTCTACCCTCTTCAGGGTAGGAGACATTCTGGAGTATGGAAGAGGTCAGTGTCTGCACTACCGCTTTTGCTGTGCTGCTGGGACATAGAGGGACTACCAAAATATGCTGGAGCAGATGAGTTTCTTAAAGCTGTTCAATATCAGGATGTTCACTGCGTGTACTCTAACCTCTGACAACTCTCTCATGTGGGGATTTGTATCTGTAAATGGGGTTGGTTTTGCATCTGTGCATGCTGGGGAAGCATAAAATAAACTGGGCTCTGTTCCCTCTGTTCAGGGAGTATTAATCTTCAGTAATTCAGTCCAATACAATGGGAGCAGTTGTTTGAACAGAATACAACATGCTGAATCCTCTCTTTCTCATGGTTTTGTGCTATTCTGGATTATGTTCAAGAATCTGATAATGGAGCTGAAGGACTGTCATTCATGAACTTCTGAAATTCGGACTGGTAAAGGACACGGTGAACATATCTAGTAATTTGAACAACCTTGTAAGCGAGCCTTCTATTTCTGGGGTTGTGTTTTCTGTGTTCTTCATTCCATATAGCATGTGTTGAAAAGAAACGCCCTGAATCAGCCCAGAGGCTCTGGCGATGAGAAATATTTTTTAAAAATGAAGCATTAAAACATTAACAGAAAGTGTTCATGCATGCCATGAAGAACATGAAAACACCTGGGAATACACATACAGAGGCAGGGAAAATGAGAATGAACGGAGGAAACAGTTAATACCTTACAATCCAACCTACAAAGGCGCCCTTCGTGTGCTACCATGTCACCTGGAGCCTGTAGAAAGTATGGCCTGAAAAAGCGTTCTTGAACTGCTTCTTTGTCTCCTTCTGGTGCCCGGGGTCGTGTTCTGCAACACAGAAATTGCTTGTATATAGTTGAAAGTCAAAGGTTTTTTTCCTAATGCTTAAAAAAATGAAGAAATTGTGGAAACAGATGAACAGATAGCTTGAGTTAAATATGAGGGCAGAAAGAAATGGATTGACTGTAATTTGATACTTGCATATTTTCCATTTAAAAATATTATCCAACTAGCTATATCATGTAGTAATGTTGGATTTCCAAGTTGTCCTTTGCTTCTTTTTGCTTTTTTGGTGGAATTTCATCTTGCTAATCCATCCCTTGCCTTTAACTCCACTGCAACAGGCAAATGAAATAATACTTTACGCTTAAACTTCCCTATATTTGAAGATGACCTTCAAAAATATTACATTCTAGAAGTGACCTGTTGGGAGGGAACTGCTGCTGTTACTTCCATTTTATGGTTGAGAACTGAAGTACAGAGTGCATTGAAGTACAGTACCTAGTTATTTTGAATGCCTGCAGTAAGAAGCATAAAGAGGGTCTGAAGGACTTGTCTTTCTTTTTACCTGTGAGGCTGAATTGTTGATATTCGGCCCCGCACAGGGATACTCTGAACCATCAGGTGGCCTGAGCAACTGATTCTCCCCTGCAAATCACAATGGAAACAGAATGAATAGTGGGTTAATAGCACATTTCGTTTTAAAGTATAAATATTTAACATTTACAATGCATTAGGATTTATTTTTATAAATGAACTGAACTATAGTGTAAATGTTACTTTTTCAAAGAAAATGCTATTAGCATGCGGTAGAGTGGAGTTGAGGCAGGGGTTTCCTTGTGTGTCTAGAGCAGTGTGTTTCTCGGACTCTTGAAGGCTGTGGCAACGCATTAAGCAGTGGTGCTATGTAAACCAGTTTAAGCGGTGTCTGTCCCTGCTTGTTCGTTCCTGCCACGGTGTCTCCATGGGTACTCTCTGCTAGTACCTTTGTACTAGCATAATTGTTTGTGCAGCCACACAGGAGCTGAAAAGTAGTTGGGCTGAAATATAATTCGGAAAAAAAAGAAAAATTTAAACTGGAAAAAGTTGCCTGATCGACTTGAGTGTACTGCTAAATAAACAGCTAAGCTAGCACACAGGGGGAAGGGGAATGGTATTAGGGGATGAGACTATTTTCAGATCCACATCTTTACATCCTAGATGAAGAATAATTGTGTTTGGTAACACTTCCAAATTTGATACAACTTTTTGTTTCCCCTCGCTTTATTCTTTCTGCCTGAAATACCACGTCTGTCTTGTCACCACATCTCAAAAGGTATCTAGATAGACAACAACAGAGCTCAGTAGATAGGGCAGGAGTTATTAATGTGAAAAAATGTCCTTTTAGACTGTGACCAGGATGTGTAAGAACAGGGGAGTAGTTTCATCATTCTTCATTATGTGCTTTCCTCTCCTATCCTCTGAAGCATTTGATTTTTGATACAGTCACCACCTGATGTCAGAATAAGTGGCCCAATCTGTGTTCCTATTAGCATATATTAGAAAAAGATGAAACAAGCATTTTCGTAGAGGAAAATAAAACACCTTACTTGTGGGTTTGCAGCCATAATTGTATAGTTGCCATCGTCATCATTAGTAGAAGCTTCAATATGTAAAGAACATGTTCCGTCTTCTTCTCTGTTCATTTTGAAATGCGCGTTTTTCTTTGAAATCTGCTTGCCATCCTTGAACCAGTATACCTGTAGTGATCAGACCCCCCCCAGTGACTTAAGACTTGCTCTGTAGTGGAAGAGTGACTAGAAAAAATGTAGATAAGAACATGACATAAGTTGACCAATTGCTAGCAAAAATTTGAGAATATTATAAAAATTGTAGATCAGTTACAATGTGCAATAGAATCATTTCAGGTTGAACTCAGAAAGCTGCATATCTCCTTTATATAGCTGGGCCTGTCAGGCTCCCTTTTCTTGGCTATAAGAACATTACTGGTTATCTCAGATCAGTTCTCATCTTTCTGGGAAGTTAATTTTTTGTGGGTTTATGAAGTTCTGTTTCTCTTGGAGTCAGGTGGCTGTGAGGCAGTCCGTACAGTACATCAAGGCCTGATACATGCTCAGGAGCAGATATTTTCATTTTAGAAAGCAGCGGAGGGGGAAATAATTTGGTTTAGAGCTCTCTCCACAGAGCCATGTTCTTAGGAGTGAGACTTGCTAGAGGGGTGTATAGAAAATAGCAGATAGTTGATTTTTATTCCTTTACCGTTAACAGTGAGAATGACCTACCTTGGGAACAGGTATTCCAACTATTTTGCAAGTGAATGTAATAGGAGATCCTTCCATTACCCGAAAATGCTTGAGTCTCTTATCAAAGATCGGTGCTATGTATTTGCCTGTAGGGATTTCCTCATGTTGGACTTCATCGTCTGATTCATCCACTGGGGTACGTTCAAGGCGAAATTCTATTTCATTCATCAGCCTCTGCTCAAAGCTTGAGATCCTGTATTCCTGCAGAGAGAGAGAGGCACAGTTCTGAACAAGATGAGTCATGTTCTCTGGTATTTGCAGTCATTTGTACTTTTAGACTAACTCTAAAATGAGTGAAAATAAAGAAGCCTACGTAAACTAGGACATACTGAAACAGCCTGAATTTGGTCTGCAGACACAGATTAAGACTGCATCTTAAGTTTGCGGAATGTAACTAATGAAACTGAGTTTTTTTCAAAGGCAGCTAAAAAATCAAACGTAATTCTTCTAAGTCCCTATGAAAAAACTATATTCTTGCACACTGTTGATCAAAAAAGATCATTAAAAAATACCAACGTTTTGAGGATTTTGTGTTCAAATATTAGCCATTTGCTAATGATAGAAATGAATACTGCTGTATATTTCAATTCAGAATTAAATAAGAAAAACTATAGGGAAAGCTAGGAAGAAAGTGAAATATTTTCAGTGTGATTTACCTTCAGGTTAAAACTTGACAGGATTTCTAGAAAAACATATCACATTGAAATCTTTAGAAGATTAAACAGATGAGGCAAGAAAACCATTATATTCCTATGTAAATGACCGTTTCCAGATAGTTTGGTGTGTTTATAAGCCTCCTCCTAATCCTCTGATGTCAATTAGAAACCTCTAGCTACTTAGCTGTTTTGCATGAGGATGTCTCTTGTCTAGACCAAAGGACATTTGACCAAATGTCTCTTGCTGTGATGTGTGAAGCTTCAGAGCAACAGTCAGCTTCAGTTTTTGACACCAAACCAACATTTATCCTGGGCATGGTGGAGCAGATAGACTGGAATGGACTTCCTGGGAGCAGACGCTGCCTGGCTACACTAACATAGACAGCTGCAAGAATATCTTTCTTAATTCATTATAAACTATCTTGTGGGGAAGCTTGTATTGCCATATGTAGGCCTGTAGCAGTAACCAAATCAGTTTGCTCAGACCTGGATTTATGCAATTTCTAAGTCCAGAGCTTGCATAAAAAAACCTGCTTCTGTTGAAGGGCACTGATGTCTCTGAGAGCAGGCAAGTATTTTTATTTCTGTGGCAAGCTTGGATCTTCAGAATCTCATTTCAATCTGTCAGGTAGTGCTATTAAAATGGGTTTTGTTGCTTTGTTATGGGAAGGAAACGATCTGTGGCCTGGAAGATAAATACTTCAGCAATTCCACAAGTGCAATTCTCATTTTTTAAATAGAATTTTAGAAACTGGTGAATAGTAAATAAGGACATAGCCTATCTTTAGATATATTCCATTTGCTGAAAAAACAAAGTTCAGAAAATGCATCTTCTCTGATATCTTATAGGAAGTTGATTAAAGCACCAGCAAAGATCCCAAATCCCTGGGACTTACATCCCTGATGATTTATCCATTCTGTCATACTGCCAATTATGTTCTTGACCAGTAGTTCCTAAATAGCAAGGAGCAAAGATGGAGAAGCAGTCTTCCAATTTCTTCAGGAGACCAAGGAGACAGAAGTTGCCAAAGGTTGAGAGGTTACAGGGGAGTTTTGAGGAGACAGGGGTCTGTGAGACTTGAGGGTGAGAGGAGGAAAATGCAGCAGCCACGAAGTAAAAAAAAAGTTGGAAATTGCCATGGTGGAATATACACCCTGGTAATATCTGATTTTGGTACTCTAATGGTAGACGTTGTGTATCAGTCTTTTAATCTAAAATCTTTTTTTGGGGGGAGTTGCTGTAAGGTCAGCTCTAGTAAGATTAGCTATGGTGGGAAAAGGCAGACAGCTCAGAGTAGGGAGGAAGGGATGAATGAATCCTCTTAACTGGAAATTAAGTCCTGCTTCCATTCCTCCCTTCTCCTGCGATGCTGCAGGGCGTTCCTTCCACACAGCTTTGTAGCAGTGCCGATAATTACAAGGTGCTCAGATTGCTGGGTCCCCCGTGCAAGATACCTTCCTTACCTTTAACACTCTCCCTCCTCTCTGACAGGGACAGTCTGCTCTCTGATACTTTCTTCAAACGTACCACTGTGAGTACGGCTTTGCCAAGCAGGAGTTTTTGAGCTTGCAGGCCTGTAGAAGCCCGTGAGATATGCGCCAAAGGTGGGAGCCAGCCGCTAGATGGTATCATCCACTTTCTTAGTTGGCTTTGTTTGCTCTGTGGGCTGGTCAACAGCTGGTGATCAGCAAACAGCCTGATAAAGTTTCATCTTCTTGAATTTTTTTTCTTTCACACAGCATGTCTCAACAAATCACTTTAATAGATCAAATTCTAATCTCAGTTAAGCCAATGTAAAACCGGAGATTCTCTGATTTCTGACCAACCAAAGCTATCATTTTTCCCTTTAGATGGTGAGAGCTGATTATAGTGTTCGAAGGGAAAGTTAAGCAATCAGTCCTTTATTACCCTTGATACTGACAAAAAGCCTGTGTATTTTTAGGAGCGAAGAATCAAGTAAAAATCAGGGAGTGACTACTATATTTTAAGCAGCAGCCATGTCACAAAAATGGACTGCAGTCATATTTGGGTTCTAGAGTCTCCCAGAAATTAAGGAATTCAGACCTAAATACTTTGTTGCCAGCAATGTACTGAAGAATGTATTTGAAGTTTTGCTTTCCTTCCATTTCTTTGAGAGCTTTAATAGTTTCCTTCCTGTTGTTTAGGTAGTTCTTGACAGCAGAGAGCAAAATCTATGACAAAAAAATTGCACCTCTGAGGAAGGATTACCTTGAGTCTCTGAATTTTCCAGTAGGACCTGAAGATACTATATGTAATTATTCGAAGAATGAAATTGTTTTCAGGGATTTCACATGCTGTGTGGCCTTCAGAGATGTGGAGGCTAATTAAGGATTAATTAAGTT